ACACGGCGATACTTCCTAGCAGGACACTGCGATACTTCCTAGCAGGACACAGCGATACTTCCTAGCACAACACGGTGATACTTCCTAGCAGGACACTGCGATACTTCCTAGCACAACACGGCGATACTTCCTAGCAGGACACTGCGATACTTCCTGGCACAACACGGCGATACTTCCTAGCAGGACACAGCGATACTTCCTAGCAGGACACTGCGATACTTCCTAGCACAACACGGTGATACTTCCTAGCAGGACACTGCGATGCTTCCTAGTAGAACTGATGCCATTGTTCCCCCTGTAGAGAGGTAGCAATAGCTGTGCACACATTTCCTCATTGCCTGTATCATAGGACATAGCCGGTGTATATAGTAGTCAGGCACTTTGTATACTCCATGTACTGTACGGCACAGTTGATATCTATGGCGGTAGTTTGGTGAAGTCAGATACCTGTCTGCAGGGGAACGGTGATGTGCTCCCTCCAATCCAGCTTCACCACGTCTCTTCCACCTCTTTCCAGCTGTTTCACGATTGTCCCATCCAGAGCCTCTTTTTCTATTCGGTCGCTGACATCCTGCAGAAAACACAGAGCATTACTGCAGAGAATTCACCAAGAGAGACAAAGCAATGTCCCTGCCAGTCCTCTCCGGGGGACACAGTTATCGGCAGCTCAGCAGATTCAACATTCCAGGAAACAAGCCCGCGGAATCCACAAGCTCTGTGACTGATGAGACTTGTAGTCTTATACCAGAGAATTCATTCCTTCTGTGTGACTATAGCTGAACACATACAGTCTCTTCTGCAAGGTTGGTAGTGCTGCAGTGGCTGCCCTTTGCTGTTCCTCTATCAGGTCATGCTGATACACAATACACAATAAAGTGAAGGGGCTATGTATGTTAGTGTGATGGTAGAAGAAATGCTCTGCGAGGAGGTTCCTGGGTGATTGCCATCACATTGGTGGGGACATCTGCGTGGCATAGAAAGTACAATAAACCCACCTGAAAGAACTGGAGCTGCTTCTCCAGGCTCCAGAAGAACGGATGTTTCAGGACGGCCTCGGCAGACGGGCGTCTCTGGGGGTCCTTGTCAATCATCTGCTGGATCAGGTGATGTGCTACAAGACCCTCTGTAGTGGCAGGAAAGTGTCATGTGATTATCGGATAGGAAGACAGCCCCTCCCCCCCTTCATGGAGCTCTCGCATTTGGGACTCACCATGGTTGTCCAGGTCCAGACAGTCCAGGCTGTAAGCTCCCAGGAGGATGTTGGCTTGCCGCTGCAGGGACTTGCCAAACGGGTGTTTCCCCTTTGAGACCACGTAGTAGAAGACGCAGCCGGCAGAGAAAATGTCCACGGTATATGTCTGCAACAAAGACATCGGATATATTCATAATACACAATAACGGCGTACGCAATCAGAACCAGGACCCACTAAAAAATGTTTGGACCCATCCTTTTCTTGGAGTCTATTGGCGATAACAGGAAGTCATCAACTGTTGTGTTATACTGCCGCTTACATTGGCACACTGGTACAATGGTAGGCCAGCCCAGGATAACTACTCCCAGCATGGCTCAGCTATTAGCAAAGCAGTCCCAAGAGCCTCATCATGCGCACAGAGGGGTGGGAACAAGACATCAATGTTACCAGAACCAAAATCTGATTATTTTCCATTGAGGACACAGGAAACCAATGACTGTTGGGACGGGCAAAAGCAGTCCAGCTGAAGGGAGGACAACAAAACAGTAAGAGAACCCATTGTACACAACAGAACCGGGGAGCCACCTGAAGCTGCCATCAGATGAGGCTTCAACAATCTTCTGTTAGAACGTAGAACAGCATGGAAAGGCCTTACCCATATGGCAACCAAGAAGGCCCTAGCGGAGGGAGACTATGACACATGGTGAATACATGAGGCCAAATGAAGACATTGAGGGAGTTGAGATCCAAGATGGGGCAAATGCTCTACGTTTGGTTTGAGAACTGTGAACAGATAGGCGTGGAAAAGCTGAAACCATTGTGCCACAGGGACCGGGGCAGTGACAACCTGGTCCAGAAGACCTGCTAGTGCTGCCTGGAAATCTGCCAAAGGCTTTCTGGCCTCTGTGAACATCAAGGGCATGTACCTAAATGTCCCCATTTTCCCAGAGCATCGCTGGCTTCTCCACTTTCCTGTGGGTCCTCTGCACTTTATGCTTGTGGCCTATCTTCTTCTAGGACATAACAGGACGCAGAGCAGTGTCTGCCTGAGGGAACACCAAGTGCTTGTGGTAAGACAGTAACCAGCCGCATCCAAAGGGGGGAGGCGCAGATATAGCAATATTGTCTACACAGGTCTCTAGGCACTTGGGTGTTAGGAACCTCTTACCTGGGTGTTTCCAGTATCACATAATACACAGGAGTCTATAGGGCTCTGTGTTTGATACGGAGGAGGAGTCCAGTGTGTGTCTGTGAAGGTTCTCATTCATCCCGGTCACGGTATATCTGTAAACCATCAATCAAGGCGATTGGATTTGCTGGGCTAGTCCATTTGCATTGATTGATTGTTTACAGATAAGCCAGTATGTATTATCATTAGGAGTTCAAAGAAGCCGCCAGGCCAGTCACACCACAGGGGACCACACTAAAGCTGAATAAGGGGATTAGCATAACTCTTCCATACATAATCCTGTCTGAGCCTGGGGATGACTCGGCGCAGATCAGAGGTCCCATTGGAAATTGTACAATCAGATTGTAATGTGTGGGCTCAGATTTACACCCAGTAAGAAGCAGAAGACACAGATATACTTACAGGGTTCTCTTTGATATCCTCATTTAAGATTTCTGGGGCGATCCATCCTTCAGTGCCAGGAACCCCGGATCTTCGGCTGAAGCTGTGTCTACCCACCGCCAGCTTCTTGCACAGCCCAAAGTCTGAGATGATGGCTTTGACTTTGCCGTGAGCGTTGGGCATGGAAATGAGGATGTTGTGTGGCTTCAGGTCTCGGTGTACTGAAAGAGAACATTGAGTGACACTGCTAATAAAAGAGACCCTGTCACCTTATCCATACAGCTGAATGATGGAATGTACACATCAGGATCCTCACCCTACCTGAGGTAAAATGAAATGGAACAATAAAGAAGCATACTGACTAGTCCACGGAGTCCAGCGTTGTCTGTAGTTCTGGTGCCGGTCGGCTTCGGCACCGCTATCTTGAATGTCCTCTTCCTGCGTGTGCTGTGACATACCACAAGTCTCTGTTAGGTCTCAGACCCGGCACAGCTTTGTGGTGTGTCTGCATGAAATCATGCAATACCTCGTTCTCCTGCCTCCTGGGATGTGTGATGTGGACATCCAGGAGGCAGCAGCACTAGGTGAGGACGCTGAAAAGTGGGGGCTGCACAGAGGAATAAGAGGTACTTACTATGGAGAACAAAGGTCTGCAAATGTGCACAGAACCCCCCTGACCCCCTTCTTCACAGCTCCACTGACCCAGGGCAGTGGTGACATCCCTCAGCCTAGTGATTTGCTGCTAGGCCTGGGCTCCATTATACAAAGAAGTAGTCCTTGGTATTGTCAAAGGCTTTGGAAGAACAAGGAGGTGCGAGGGAGGGCAAGTAGAGGCGAGTATAAGGGGGGTGCGGAGGCCCTATGTAGAGACACTGTCACTTCACCCTCACTATGGCCTCCATGGAAATGGTTTAAAAGAGAACTATGGTGTTAGGGCTTTTCCCCATAGTTCTCCTTAGGGTAACGGGAGGACACAAACTAGCGTCCTCCCGTCACCCTAGGTTCAGTATATAGGGAGCTACAGCTCGCGGTATACTGAGACGCCGGAGCGGATCCCGACAATTGTGCCGGGATCCGCCCAGCTGCGTGACTGACAGCTGGCTCTGCCTATCTAGAGACAGTCAGCTGTACCCGCCTCCTCCCCTGTTCGTTCCGCCAGTCAGCGCTGGCGGAGCGGGGGTGGGGGGAATCCAGCCCCTCCCCTGTCACGGCAGGATCGAGAGGTGAGCGAACGCCGGTATGTGTTCCCTCACCTCCCGATCTACTGAGCCCTGACAACAGTCTCATTGTCACAGGTCGGCTAGAACTATGAGGTGAGTGAAAAGCCCCCCCTCCCCCCCCCTCATAGTTCTCCTTTAAATAGCAACTTAATTCCAATAAATACATCGTTATTGATAATATTGATACAATGACGGGAAAGGCAGACAAACATTTTGGAGTTATGGTCAGATTTAGGCCCCCCGGGTGACATGGGTCCGGTAGCAGTTGCGGCCTCCTCTGCCCCCCGATGTGGCATCACTTTCTAAAATACGTTACATATATATCTGATTGTGTATTGGAGACGCAGCAAACCCAATGTACCTGATAGCAGATGTGCAAACTCTCATGTGAGCAGCGCTGTGAGGAGATGATGTAAACCCCCCCTCATAGTTCTCCTTTAAGGAGGACAATTCAACCCAATGCACAGCGGGGAAATTAAATACCAACAGGATTCCACCAGTCACATCAGTCTCTGCACAAAAGGAACTTACACTCTGTAGTGTCCCCCAAAGTGACATTTATACAGAATGATTCTAAACTTACCAATATTGAGGGAGTGAAGATAAGCCAGACCGGACACTGTCTGCTCCAGGAGGGTTATGGGTTCCAGGCCATGCCGATCAAAGTCCTTCTCTTCTACATACTAAGGGATAAAAGACAGACATGTGTGACACATGGGGGGGGGTCACATGTGCTATTCTCCTCTGCTCCACCTCTTCTCTGACTACAGACCTCCTGCAGGGTTGCTGCACACAGTTCAATGGCGATATACTGGAACTGGCGGTCTTTCTCCGTACAGAAGTAGCGGATGACATTGGGATTCTCGTCAGATTCTCTCAGTAGCTGAACTTCTCGATCTGCAAAACTGAAACACTCTGGCAGGATTCTCTTCACGGCCACGTCCCTGTTATCAAAGCGAGCCCTGCAGGGAGAAGAGAGAATTGGAATAGAAACAGGTGGAAGTGAAGGAACTGCACCAAAAATCAGATACAACCTGCCTGTACCCACTTATCAGGAACCATGCACGGCACTGATCCTTTCCTTGTCCCATGCAGGGCTATGTGAAAGGGTCATTGGTGTCTCCAGCAGTACTTCTGGGTATGAGGGTGCATTGCCCCAGTATGGTCACACGAGGGAAGGCATCCATAGCCCTGACTAGTTGGTTTGGAGGAAATACCGCTTTCCAAGGTACTAGCAGGAGTGAGGAAATGTGGGTGCAGTGGCAGTGAAGGGGGGGGGACCCTTTTATTTTCCCTGCATGGGAAGGGAAGGGTCACTTGCATAGAAACAGGAGATCTAGGAAGATGAACCGTTCAGTAAATGGTCACCTGTAGACGATGGTCCCCTCAGCACCGTGACCAAGGACCTCACAGGGGTTGAAGGAGATCTTCCCCACCGTCACTGTCATGTCATCATCTGTTCAACAAACACAAAATGACAAAGAAGTGGGAACAAGGTGTGCAATGTATGGTGGACACAAGCTGCACGGACTGATATAAGCCACAACACTAGAGACAAGAGACCTCTGGTACCTCCATCCTCTTGTTCTGTGCAGGCGACACTACCAGCCTCCGACATGGACAGATTGGAGTGGTTGGAGGCCTTCGGTGACACGTTGGGAGTACTGTTAGCTGAACTCTCGCTCCGCATGCTAGTTATATCCAGATAATCTCCCTCAGGCATCACCTCAGCAGACTGGAAGGGGGTTTGCTGACTCTGTAGGAGTTGGATCTTCTCCTCCAGCTGCTTCTGGAACTGCTGGTGCTGCAACTGTTGCTGCTGCTGGAAGGTCTATAGAGACAGACACATGAGTGACTGTGGGCTAATATCGGAGGCATGGAGGGGTTGTAGGGGAACATCTCACTTACCTTAGGATATGTGATGACAAATGCTACCCATCCTGCCAGGAGGAATGTACTGAGGATGATGGTGGCCAGATCCTTCAGCATGGAGTCCACCGGAGCCTCTGGCTTGGGCAGGAATGGCTTTGATACGTCAGAGATCTCCTGAGAGTAAGACGGGGGAAACTGCTCGGGAGGGTTGTCCACCATCCCCAGGACTTCCTGCCGAGTGACAAAAAGACAGGAACTGTGAAGCATGGTGGAGGGGGAACCATAGTTTGGGTTATCCTCATGCTTTAGGACAATGTTTAGGATGTTCTGGATCCATGTTACAGGGTATCATACCCCGGTCTAGGTCTCCATCCAGCTGATGATCATGGCTGGAAGAGAGCTTTGCATGGATATCATGGAGATTCACATGCGTTACTTGTTTTACAATGTTTGTGTGTCCTCCGTGTCGTCGCCCTACACTCACCTTGTTGAAACGTGCTTTGTCCCGTGCGGTCTCTATGACATTCTCCCCTCCCCGGGGCAGGGTGGATGGGAAGGTATCCAGGAGTTTGGTTGGGGCAGACAGAGGAGTTTCATGGTGTCCTAGAAGTAAGAAGGTTTATGTCATATGACGTCATGTATATCGCTGGTCTCATCAGGCGTGCATGTAACATGTGGCGTGACTGAGAGGGGTGGAGCTTCAATAAGCTCGTGGCTTAGAAACCTCAAATGTCAGTGAGAGCCGTGTCCGCCGTCTACACAGGACCAGCTAGCCAGGCTGTGCCGCGGTGGCAGAAAAAAAGGGGAGACTGCAAGTGCCGAACTTCTCAGACTACAGAGCGGCCGTTCTGTGCTGTAAGACGTCACAATGGGGAGCACAGTGGAGCCCGCGCAGACGGCGGACACAGCGCTCACTGACATGTTACCCTGTGTCCCCCGAAATGAAGACCACCCCCGAAAATAAGACCTAGTTGTGACCATTCCCGGGGCCGGTGGTGGCATAAGGGGGAACTTGAAGAGCCGCGGGAGAGAATCAGCGGTGCCAACGAAGCCGGCGCTAGAGGAAGCGAGGCGGCACCGGAGGGAGCAGAGCCGCATAAGCCGATGCCTCCTCTATAGCCCCGCCTCCTGTCACAGGCGGAGTGATACCAAATGCACTCCGCCTGTGAGGAATCCATAGTGACAGCGCTTCGCTCATTCTGGCCAGCGATTGGTTAGCAAATTGCTCTTGGAAAGGTACGGCCCCCCTGATTGCCCCGATCACCATATTTTTCTACATGAATACATATAGACTGTTGGACATAAAAAGACCGAGCCGGAAAATAAGACCGAGCCGGAAAATAAGACCGAGCCGGAAAATAAGACCGAGCCGGAAAATAAGGGTATAAGGAGCTCGCACGCTGTGCACTATATCCGGTGTTGTCACTTGGTTTCTTTCCCACCATACATGAGGCAATGTGATTGGGCGATCCTCCGTGTAGTCAGGGGGCAGAGCTCATACCTATTAGCAGCCAATGGTTCCTCCAGTAACTCCCTTTCCCCCCGGGCAGACTCTTCAGATCGGTGCTGGGTGTGAACACGCACTCTCCATTCTCCTCAATCGTCACCCCATCAGTGGTGGGACCGTCCAGCAGCGGCATGACTCTTCCCCTGGGCACGAGCCGGAAAATAAGACCGAGCCGGAAAATAAGGGTATAAGGAGCTCGCACGCTGTGCACTATATCCGGTGTTGTCACTTGGTTTCTTTCCCACCATACATGAGGCAATGTGATTGGGCGATCCTCCGTGTAGTCAGGGGGCAGAGCTCATACCTATTAGCAGCCAATGGTTCCTCCAGTAACTCCCTTTCCCCCCGGGCAGACTCTTCAGATCGGTGCTGGGTGTGAACACGCACTCTCCATTCTCCTCAATCGTCACCCCATCAGTGGTGGGACCGTCCAGCAGCGGCATGACTCTTCCCCTGGGCTAGAGAGCAGACACAGATATCAGACACTTGTACAGGGGGTCATCCTCAGTCACATGACATACAGGGGACACCTACCACCACAGTGACCCCTTCATGCACCATGGAAGATGAGGTCACATGACATACAGGGGACGGGACACTTACCACCACCGTGACCCCTTCATGCACCATGGAAGATGAGGTCACATGACATACAGGGGACACTTACCACCACAGTGACCCCTTCGTGCACCATGGAAGATGAGGTCACATGACATACAGGGGACGGGACACTTACCACCACCGTGACCCCTTCGTGCACCATGGAAGATGAGGCATACAGGCTGCTGGAGTATTTGCCCACATACAGCGTCGTCCTGAAGGTAAACAAGAGACATGTAACCAGTCAGGCTCCGTCCCTTAGTGTAAGCCCGCCCCCCCTCTCGTATATACTCACATCAGGTTACTTTTGGTGTGCGTCTCTTTGGGGAAGGGATACTTCCACTTTGTGATACGACCGACCTCCCCAGACATGAAGGTGAGATAGCGCAGCGTCTCCACCCCTACGTTGGTGTGTAAGACCTTCCGGAGACCCTCCCTCTGCCAGATGTACAACGCTACTACCGGGGAGGCGTAATTCTGAATCCACAGGACGTCCCCCAAATCGCTGTCCACCGTCACCACCAAACCGTCCCCATTAGACACAAAGTGCGACATTTCTGGAGGAGACACCGACATGACAATCTCTTCTAC